TAGAAAATTGATTTGTCAGTTTGATAATTTAATCACCTTACATATATATATATACATTATGATATGATAGACTTTGTTCCATCAATAACGTAATTATATTTACTAAAATCTTAATATATAAAGTATAGAGTGGGAGGAAAAAAAGGTTCCAAAGCAGTAGGGAATCAGCTGGCTGTATACAGTAAGGGAATGTTCCTGAGCAGTAGGGAATCGGCTGGTTGTATACAGTAAGGGAAGGTTCCTGAGCTGTAGGGAATCAGCTGGCTGTAAACAGTAAGGGAAGGTTCCTGAGCAGTAGGGAATCAGCTGGCTGTATACAGTAAGGGAAGGTTCCTGAGCAGTAGGGAATCAGCTGGCTGTATACAGTAAGGGAAGGTTCCTGAGCAGTAGGGAATCAGCTGGCTGTATACAGTAAGGGAAGGTTCCTGAGCAGTAGGGAATCAGCTGGCTGTATACAGTAAGGGAAGGTTCCTGAGCAGTAGGGAATCAGCTGGCTGTATACAGTCAGGGAAGGTTCCTGAGCAGTAGGGAATCGGCTGGTTGTATACAGTAAGGGAAGGTTCCTGAGCAGTAGGGAATCAGCTGGCTGTATACAGTCAGGGAAGGTTCCTGAGCAGTAGGGAATCGGCTGGTTGTATACAAGGAAGGTTCCTGAGCAGTAGAAGCTCCTGTAGCAGTAGGGAATCGAGCTAGGGAAACTGTTATACAGTCAGGGAAGGTTCCTGAGCAGTAGGGAATCGGCTGGCTGTATACAGTAAGGGAAGGTTCCTGAGCAGTAGGGAATCGGCTGGTTGTATACAGTCAGGGAAGGTTCCTGAGCAGTAGGGAATCGGCTAACTGTTTACAGTCAGGGAAGGTTCCTGAGCAGTAGGGAATCGGCTGGCTGTATACAGTAAGGGAAGGTTCCTGAGCAGTAGGGAATCGGCTGGCTGTATACAGTAAGGGAAGGTTCCTGAGCAGTAGGGAATCGGCTGGCTGCATACAGTAAGGGAAGGTTCCTGAGCAGTAGGGAATCGGCTGGCTGTATACAGTCAGGGAAGGTTCCTGAGCAGTAGGGAATCGGCTGGCTGCATACAGTAAGGGAAGGTTCCTGAGCAGTAGGGAATCAGCTGGCTGTATACAGTAAGGGAAGGTTCCTGAGCAGTAGGGAATCAGCTGGTTGTATACAGTAAGGGAAGGTTCCTGAGCAGTAGGGAATCGGCTGGCTGTATACAGCAAGGGAAGGTTCCTGAGCAGTAGGGAATCGGCTGGCTGCATACAGTAAGGGAAGGTTCCTGAGCAGTAGGGAATCAGCTGGCTGCATACAGTAAGGGAAGGTTCCTGAGCAGTAGGGAATCAGCTGGCTGTATACAGTCGTTGAAAGTTCCTGAGCAGTAGGGAATCAGCTGGCTGTATACAATCAGGGAAGGTTCCTGAGCAGTAGGGAATCGGCTGGCTGTATACAGTAAGGGAAGGTTCCTGAGCAGTAGAGAATCAGCTGGCTGTATACAATCAGGGAAGGTTACTGAGCAGTAGGAATCAGCTGGTTGTTTGCAATTAGGGAAGGTCAACATGCATACCAATAGATAACAAGAAACATGTATCCCAGGCTTGTTCCGACTGCTCTTCATTTCTAAGAGATTGATTGGTGGCAATTGGTAATTTTTGTTTGTAATAGCTTTTTTGTATGTACATTTATGTCTGAAGTCAAAACTTGTATTCAAATTAGATGTTTATTAATCAATGATTTTCCATCTGCCATGTAAAAAGTACATAAACAAATAAGATATAAGATGTTTGTAAAATTTATTTGTATAAGCTGTGAATTCACCTTTATTTGTAAACATGTGCATTGAATTAATTTGTAAGTACTTTCTGGACTTCCCAGTTGTACTAGCGACTTGCTCCCAAATACATCATAATTTAGCCTTAAGGCCCCACAGATAGACTAGACTGATAGGGTATATATAACAGGTTAGTGGTCGCCAACATTAGTAGATAGAGGCAGTACTTTGGGGTATTGGTCACCCAACATACCACTGGTGGTCCTATTGTTTAATGTGACAAATGTTATTATGGAAGTAGCCAGGAGGCATGACCCTTCCTTTGGTTACTGTCCAGCATGGGTCAGCCCTATACAGCAAATCAGCTTTTCATCAGAATGGACCCAAATGTTAATGTATTATTGTGAAAAGTGACAACTTCCTGATAATAGGTTTTGGTGTAATATAATATTCTACTTGTGAACTAGTAATTATTTCAGAATTGTTCATAGAAAGATTAGTTCTAACGTGTTCCATTTTCCATGAAAATGCCCAGGTTTTACTATGTCAGTACCTACCTGTAGGTCTATATGTATTGGCTGGGTATGCATTTAATATTGCAGTAAGCTAAGCCCATTGCTATTTTGACTATAACTGCAATAACCCATTGGTAATAGTTTTAAACAAGACAGAGTAGAAAAGACTGCTAAAGAACATTCCAGTTAATATATGATAAATAAAATTAACCACAATTAAACATCGTTTGAACCGTCTCCCCATGAATTAGATTTATCGATGGCTACCGAGGCACTGTGTATACATATGTAGCACTTCGTCTTCTGGCTTATGATAATCAGTAATTGCAGGATGAAATTAAAACATATCAAGCATTAAATGAGACTCTTTCAGTCTCTGTTGAACCAGAATTATCTGAGCTTTACCTGGTGCGGTTCTGGCATTGATATTGCTGTACACTTCTATCAACATGCGCGTTAATTGCTAAATGTATGTTAAATTGTTTGCATTTCATAAAACTTTCTTAAAAGACTCAGAGAATTTGAACAAAACAATTATACATAATTGTCACATTTTCATTCTTAAAAGAAAGTGATACCAGGATGTACCAGACGGCAGACCGGTTGATAAGCTGCCAATAGGTGGTCATTTTTGGTGGGCCATTATTTGGGGTAGAAAAAAACTTTGCTTCCATAGATATTTTAATGTATGACAAATATCAATAAACTTTGACATGTTGCCAGTGCACAAAGGTCACAGCCTTCTGGATCACCGAGAGCAAAAAATCACATGTTGTTAACATTGAAACTTTAATTCATACTATCTGTTGTGTTTATTCTGTTGTTTACACTAGTATGGTAATACATTGCCTACCTGTCATGTTAACTGAGACTTGAAACATTAGATAGTTCAAACGTTGAATCAGTTGTGTCAAACCATACCAGAATATGGAAATCTGTGTCTGAAAAGTACTTTTCAGGGAAATGTTTGTTATCAAACGTACATGAGACTATGAAGATTATGGATGTGGCCTCTTACAGGTGATTTATTGTTACAGGATTGTAATGCTTTACAAATATATGAGGTGTCAACAGCAATCAGTAATCTAATGGAATTTAAGAAAACGTTGAGTCTGATTTACGTAGAGAGAGCATCGTAACTATGAGCTAATCATGAAGCAACACTCCAGCATGACCTAGAACACACGTCACATGTAGCAGGACGTATGGCTGCAGTTGACTCAAGATTTGTGCACTAAATAAAAAACAAAATCGGAAATGATTATTGGATATTTTTACTGAACGGTACAAAGGTTGCAAACATGCAATAATGAAGTATTCAATGGTAATTAGTGGTGGGAGAATTAAACCTGGCAACATTGGGCTAACATAACATATCAATGTACTGGAATCCAATGTTCTCTATGTATAATATAGCTATCATAATATATTAAAAACATCAGGATTATTAGATATTAAATTCATATATAATTCCAGCTGTCATAAATATAATGGATATATTTCACGTACAGAACGTCTGATGTTTCACATTGAGCATTGGATCCTGTGATATACTTCGCATGTTGACACACCATATGCTTATGATCTGCAAAATCAAAGAAAACTTCAACATCCATAATATCTGCACTGGGTGAGTATTTGGTCCATATTTTTGTTAAAATATTTATGATTTTCCATTTAGCCACCCTGGGCCTCTTTCTGGTAGATCCCAGTATATATTCTTTTTCAGAGAAATTTGAACCTTAGTTTTATCAAGTTTGCCTTACTGTTTTGGAAACAAGACATCTAGATTGTGAAACATTGTCAAAACTATACTGAAAAGTCAAGAAGTCATGTTAGTTATAAAACTGACAATTTAGATTTATATCTTGATGTATTAACCATAACAGAACTCTCAGAGGACTGGGCGTTGGGGTGGGGTGGGGAAGGGGGGGCGTTGACATCAACAACTATAAAATAGAATTTAAAAATTTTAAAAGCACAGTGTGTTTATACTGTTGTCATAGCTATATATATATTTGTATATGTTTTCTTTTCAATGAAAAAAAATATTGTAGAATTATTGATAAAGAGAAAGACCTTGTTTAATTACCTTGTATCGGGAAAACTTTTCTTTAATTTACTATTGACAATAACACTTGTTGTTCACATCAATCAAAATAGATAATTAACTGTGGCCTTGATAACGACCTTGAACTGGCCTAACTAGTATAGACAGGATTAACGAGGTTATTCAGTCAATGGTCAGTTATTCTGTCACACAATAGAATGTGTTGATAGCAATTTACTGCACAATTAAATACTTAATTGTGACACCTTGAAACATTCATTACAGTCTAAAAGGCAAGTTGTATATACATGTTGTGGACTGATGTGTTTCTCCCTTAACAGGTAAAATTCTTTTCAATAATTTCCCAAGTATTATCAGGTTAATGGCCTGTGTAAACATAACATAAGTTGATGATATTTTCTGTATATTTCTAACACAACGAAACAAGAATAGAATAAGCATCACTGAACTGACTTCAATTATGTTACTACAAACATTACTAGTTATCTGAAGTGGTCATCTGTTCAAAATGTTTCCTAGGTTGAGATGTAAGGATTAGGAGGAGCAAACTTAGTTTTGTTGTTACAAAAAATGATTAAATATGGTGGATTATTGATAATATCCCTATAATATGTGAAGGTAGATCAACCTCGGTCCTCCTTATTCCTGGAAATGGATACCTATTGGTTTGTTTCTAACTCAGGAGAGATGATTCTATGTCAAGGTAAGTAAGACAGTCACACCCATCTCTAAGAAAGTCCATTGATCTTTACTCATAACATTTAAAGATTGGTGATTCACATACATTCAACGTCAAAATATTTCAGTGAATTTCTGTCTGGTTCACACTTTGATTAATTGGAAAATCTAATGCTACAGGTTGTCCTTGAAAATATGATGATTTCAACAATAGATGAAAAGCAGTTAGATCACCTAGATTACAGAATAGATCTCTATTCTGTTTGTATTAATTTAGTTTGATAAGCACTTGACATGGTAAAATTCAAGGTATTGAGCTGGATCTGCTTCTTGTCATTTTGAATTCTCTCAATAATTACTCTGATTACAACTTTTATCTTTCCCAGCAAACTTTACTAAATTTTTTGGCAAAGGTTTCCTCAAAATTTCAAACTTCGAAATGAAAAACTTCATGTGTAGTAACCCAGACATCAGATTTATTTCCCTTTATATCAACTCTATATAGTATTAGAAAGACGAATAGCTATAAATTTATCTAAAGGTACATGTAATGTGATAATTAAATGTATGTAAGAAAGAAAACTAGATTATTTTTTTGAAGATGAAACGCCAGTTTTTTTGCTCTTTTTTTTTTTTACAAATTACATTTTAGATACCAGTTATACTATATACAATGATACATGCACGCCCTTTCAGACGAAGACTGATAGCTGGTATAACCTTGAAGGCGGGAGTCGATTGTTTGATTTATTGTCAAATTAGGACTTGAATCAAGATCTAGATATTGTCACCTGACTTTAAAATGTGTATCGATGGTAATGACCCGATTCTAGTTGAAATATTAGAGTTAATGTTCTAGATTTGTGTAAAATATTGGGACAGATGATTGGAAGGTCGCACAGTTTAATGGGTGCTGGACACAGGGCACTTTCAAAATTTAATTAGAATTGGTCCAGGTGCCATAAATGGTTTTCATACAGCTATATACAAATTGTTGAGTCTGTTTTCAGATAATTTACACTGTTGTGGTCAGAGGATGTTAAAATGTACCACAATAAAAGGTGTGTAATGGGGAGGTTGGTACGGAGGGACCAGGGGGCAGTGACAGGGGACCACTTGTCATATTGGTTTTACTTTGGTAATTATCAGTCTTGTCACCTTGGATGGGTAAAACCTGTCACACTCCTTGACAGACTTTGTTCTATATCTGTGTGATGGGATTATATATGCTTGAAACCTGACAATTTCCTGGCGTGTTTTATTCTCTTGTCAAGGAGAAATTTGAAACCCGTTAAAATGGCTGCAAATGGCCGTGCGCATTATATTTATGTATTCGTAATCAAATCCATAATTCAATGGAGATTTCGTTACTCTGTTGTTTGCTGTTGGCAATAGGAGACAAATTTAAGTTTATATGTACGGGGTGCCTGGTAAATTCACCATTTAGACCTAAGAGTACATACTTTTCTGCTTAATAGTATGATTTACTGACTGCAGTTCATGCTGTGTTGCAGAAGAAATAAATTCACGATTGCTATAAGCTGATGTTTGTGTTATGAAAGCCTTATAAGCTTTAACTGCAGAAAATGAAACACAGGAATATTAATTTTGTTATAAAGACCCGAAATTTGACATGTAAATTGTTGGTATTTGCAGCCAAAAGATTTGTAAACTTACATACAACCAGTTTCTTATCTCATTTGACATGTCTGAAATTTGATTATTATTCTTTCTCTGGAATGGAACTGATACATAATGAGGTTAAACGTATGAAAGTTGACAGAATATGTTTAGTGTAGGCAGATATATAAAGCATAGAGTACAAACATGGCAATGATCAGACAGCAAGGGTCAAAGTTCACTGATGTCTGTAGTTAAAAAGGAAATGTATATCACTGTAAGTTGTATTGATGTCAGTATCTAGAATTTCTTATTAACTGATGTAACTTCCCAGTGACCAAGATCAGAGTTGGCTTAATATAGCTTATTTTACTGATGTAAAAACTTCCCAGTGACCAAGATCAGAGTTGGCTTTATATAGCTTATTTTACTGATGTAAAAACTTTCTGGTGACCAAGATCAGAGTTGGCTTTATATAACTTATTTTACTGATGTAAAAACTTCCCGGTGACCAAGATCTGAGTTGGCTTTATATAACTTATTTTACTGATGTAAAAACTTCCCGGTGACCAAGATCTGAGTTGGCTTTATATAACTTATTTTACTGATGTAAAAACTTCCCAGTGACCAAGACCTGAGTTGGCTTATACATCATATTTAGTTCTTAACACACAACAGGTAATATTTAAAATGAAATTTTCAAAATAATTTATTAAATGTGGTAACACGGTATTTAAAAAGCTCTCTTGATTTTATTTTGAGCAATTTTTAAGTAATTTGAGTGAGGACGTCATTGAGTGGATCAACTGCAGGCATGTATATATGGACAACAGATATACTACACATGTGACATGTAGTATAAACATATTATTAGGAAGTTTAATTCAAGTAATTCTTCTCAGATTAAGTTTGAATTTTATGGCTTTATTTGTACATTGTAATTTGATGAAATAAAGACAAAAAATGGAATTTTTCATGAAATTAAATAGGAGTTAGTTATCCCGTCAGGTATATAAATCTTCCTTTGCCTTTATCTTTTGGCCAGTTGGAAGTGCAAGGTATCTGTTTATTTTTGTTCTTTACTACCTCCGTCAGGGTAGATCTAATTTCTGCTTTCTCACTCACTCATACGTAGGGAAAATTGTGCATCATCATTGTACAATATTGTTTTTAAATCTCCTAAAGTGTGAAAAAATTATAAATCATTTGATACATGAGGCAACTGTACGAATAATCGATAGAATTGGGATGAGTCAGCAAAGTAAACAGCCAAATAAATACAGGGTATATAGTAAGGAGCTGATATGGTTCTATAGAACACCTTGGGATGGATATTTTTGATCCGGCCTTTAACACTACAAATTGCATGTTGGAATCACAACAATGTCTGTTTGGGGATTTATAGCCAGAGAAAAGATTCCTTCATAGTTCACACAACTTTTATTATGCAACATATTGCAGTCTTTACATAAGTTGCTCAATTGCAAACATGAATTTTTTAAACGTTTTTCATGCCAGTGTACAATAGGCACAGAAGTTGGTAATTTATTTTCAAATTGAATCTTCTGCCTGTAGAGAAGTGATCAAACTCCTACAGGATTCCTTCTGTAAGATTGTAGTATTTATGTAGTCCAAAGTACTCCAAAGCCTTGTACCTCTGTATAAATACTACTTGGGGTAATGTGGAAATGTTTCAAGGTCTTGTATTTGTGGTGAATATCGAGTAACCAACAATTAAAGCAAGTTTTGTGTTTGAAATAATATTGAAATGATTAAATGACATAATGCTTCTTTCAGTGGAACTAAAAGTTAACTTCACTTAGACTGTATATCGCTAGGAACAAAACTATTTCGAGTATTTTGTTTAATTTTGACCAGAATTTTGCAAGGTGCGATTGTAAATATCTATGATTGAAATTACCATAATTTTGCTGAAGTTTTAATGAAGCAGAAATTGTCAATTTTCAGGGCTAGTGCAATGGTAACACATTTTATCAATGACAATAAGTTATCAGAACATGGATGACAAAATTAGCAATGTTAATGATATAGTCGATGATGGTGGAAACATTCTGCAAACTTTCTGTATTTGTATTAGTTGCCTGAGTGAGCAATATGGGATGGTAATACTACAGTATGTCTTTGTTAATGACTCTCCAGTGGCCACAGTACAGTGTTGTTGGTGACTCTCCAGTGGCCACAGTACAGTGTTGTTGGTGACTCCAGTGGCCACAGCAAAGTGTTGTTAATGACTCTCCAGTGGCCACAGTACAGTGTTGTTGGTGACTCTCCAGTGGCCACAGTACAGTGTTGTTGGTTACTCTCCAGTGGCCACAGTACAGTGTTGTTGGTGACCCTCCAGTGGCCACAGTACAGTGTTGTTGGTGACTCTCCAGTGGCCACAGTACAGTGTTGTTGGTGACTCTTCAGTGGCCACAGTACAGTGTTGTTGGTTACTCTCCAGTGGCCACAGTACAGTGTTGTTGGTGACTCTTCAGTGGCCACAGTACAGTGTTGTTGGTTACTCTCCAGTGGCCACAGTACAGTGTTGTTAGTGACTCTCCAGTGGCCACAGTACAGTGTTGTTAGTGACTCTCCAGTGGCCACAGTACAGTGTTGTTGGTTACTCTTCAGTGGCCACAGTACAGTGTTGTTAGTGACTCTCCAGTGGCCACAGTACAGTGTTGTTGGTGACTCTTCAGTGGCCACAGTACACTCTCCAGTGGCCACAGTACAGTGTTGTTGGTGACTCTCCAGTGGCCACAGTACAGTGTTGTTGGTGACTCTCCAGTGGCCACAGTACAGTGTTGTTGGTGACTCTTCAGTGGCCACAGTACAGTGTTGTTGGTTACTCTCCAGTGGCCACAGTACAGTGTTGTTGGTGACTCTTCAGTGGCCACAGTACAGTGTTGTTGGTTACTCTCCAGTGGCCACAGTACAGTGTTGTTAGTGACTCTCCAGTGGCCACAGTACAGTGTTGTTAGTGACTCTCCAGTGGCCACAGTACAGTGTTGTTGGTTACTCTTCAGTGGCCACAGTACAGTGTTGTTAGTGACTCTCCAGTGGCCACAGTACAGTGTTGTTGGTGACTCTTCAGTGGCCACAGTACAGTGTTGTTGGTGACTCTCCAGTGGCCACAGTACAGTGTTGTTGGTGACTCTCCAGTGGCCACAGTACAGTGTTGTTGGTGACTCTCCAGTGGCCACAGTACAGTGTTGTTGGTGACCCTCCAGTGGCCACAGTACAGTGTTGTTGGTGACTCTTCAGTGGCCACAGTACAGTGTTGTTGGTGACTCTTCAGTGGCCACAGTACAGTGTTGTTGGTGACCCTCCAGTGGCCACAGTACAGTGTTGTTGGTGACTCTTCAGTGGCCACAGTACAGTGTTGTTGGTGACTCTTCAGTG